ATCACCCAATACATTGTCGACACGTGTCCACCCGGCACATGGGGTAAATATTCTCCTGAAGCCCAGTCAGAGACCCTCACGCGCGTCTGCTATACACACGTCTGGGCTTATATTGATCAGCTTGCTCGATCACTCAGCTTGCTCGATCACTCATCTGATCGATTGATGGGTAGCTCGAGCAGTCTGATCGAGCACCAGGCTACTCGAACGCCAGTGCAGTCGAGCTTTGGGTTGTTCGACCGCTTGCGTGGTCGAGCCCTGGGGCTTGGATTCCCGCCTCTCGGCTTGGTTTGCTCCCGGTCTGCTCTTCTCGACCGGCTCACCAAATCGGTTCGTCCTTATACAGATAATATCCTATATCAAAGGCATTGCCTTTGTATCTTGTATGGTACGAATGAGCCTTATGGCAGTCCATAGATATGAAGCTTGATATAATTACAATGATTCTTTTTTGTGATCTGTGATCTCAAGAACATGTGTCCATTCTCCCGAACACTTCTCATCTATCTGCATAAATAACCATACTCTTGCATCTAACAGTATCCTCACACTATTTCCAGTGATAGAAATGTCGTGTACACACAATAAAAAAATACCCCCACGCTTTTTATACACATACCTCGCGGTGGTCGAGGCTGTGCGGAATTGGAGGCCCTATCTTTTGGGGTGACATTTTTGGATTGTGAGCAACCAACAACCCCTCAAACATCTACTCGAGCAGAGGATAGTCACGCTCGAGCAACAAAAGTTTATTTCAAAATTAATGGGATTTGATTTGACATTGTCTACAGATCCGGGCAACAAAATTCGATCACCGATGCATTGTCCCTGAGGACCGATATCGCAGAACGCAGAGCCATATCTGAGCCGACCTGCAGTGTATGGTATGAGCTGCAAGCCGTGTAGGGTCGAGATTCATTTTATGAGGAGATTCGTCGGAAAATAGCGGCTCAAGAGGACGAGGCCAACAACTACGAGGACCACAACGGGCTCGAACCATTCAAAGGTAAGGTTTACGTGCCTGAGGAGGGAACATACGGGCCAATCTCATACGTCATTTCCATAGCTCCAAGGTGGGAGGTCACTCAAGTTATTATCGAACTTGAATAAGGTTGGCCAACACATCCTATTGGCCCGGGCAACTAGGCAAAGTGCGAAGGTTGAGCGGTGCGATGAGTGTCAGCCGGTCAAGGCGGACTCACGTCGACC